AACCTGAGAAAATCAAAGAAGACATGAAAAAAGGTTTAAAATACTTAAAGTAAGTCAGCTACTGAGCAGAAAAGATAAGACCGATTATAGTATTTAATATTGCCTTTAACAAAGATGAAGATGTCAAAATTGCGGGATTAAGTAAATACTGTATTTGAGAGTGCAAATAGAAGCCTACAAAAAACTCCACTATTAACCCAATATAAACGATGCAAAAATATAGGAATCTCCAAAGTTCTGCAAAAGGGAACCTAGTTGTGTCAAATGCGCTGAAAAATACTAAACCCACGATGGTAAAAAAAGTTACAAGTACTTCACCTAAGTGCATACACTGTGGAGGAAGGATACCCAGCTAAGTACAGAGGTTGCACCACTGTAAAGGCTTTGCAGAGTATAAGAAACAAAATTACAAATCAGAAAGGCACAGTTATTCAAGTGAATCGAGAAAATCTAGAGAAAACTGTAAGAAAGCAACAAACATTAAATGAGGTTAATATACCTTATGCCTGAGTAGCAAGTAATGAAATACCACCGACAGTAGACAGCAGTACTGATCCAACAACTTCAATGCTGCAAAAATTTGGTAAAGAATTTAACAAAAAAGTTTTAAAAAGACTGGACAGAGTAGAAAATAATACTAACAGACGATAAAACACAAAACGTCAAAACTCCTAGACTACCAAACCTTGTGTATCTGGTGCCCTAGTTATTTGAGTATTTAGATTCGATGCTAACTTAGTTTATCTTTTTTAATTCTTCAACCCTTCAATGGTCACCTACATGGCATCGTTGAAGGTACATCACATCACATGCACTTAGACCCTCGTTTCCCACAGGTGTTAAGTTAACTAGTAACGGAAACCCCGCTAATGCAATGTAATTAAAAATGATAAATAAACTGAAGGTTTATTGTGAAAATGTTGTCGGTTTAAATTACTGAAACAAATGCCAGTGAAATCAGGATGCGCTAACAAACCGAAGAAAATTTTGAAAAACAGAAAAAAATCTGTTTTGGGCGCGACCTCTGGATCTGCGTTCCAACGTCATAACTGCTAGATCACCAGAGCTTCTTGGTTGGTCTTGGTCTTGCACACTTGGTCTTGGTCTTGCAAGCCTTCAGCTGGTCTTGGTCTTGAACAGCTAGGTCTTGGTCTTGCTGCAAGAGTCTTGTGAGTCTTGTATTTTCTGGTAAATCTTAAATACTGCTACTTTGTACACAAAAAACGTGTTGCTGTTCTGTGAATTATAGTATTTTACAACATTTTCCAGCACCAAAAAGAGTTTTTATGATATCACTTAAGTGTTCTCTGTTTGTAGTTAATAATGAAACACCCTGTATAAATTATTGCCATTAGAGGCTTAATGCACATTATAAAATCAGGAACTACTAAGCAAACAGTAAATATAGTTATCTTCTAAAGCTTGTGGTTTGTAATTGTAAATAAACCACATATATTTTTTATTTAAACCTTTTTTATTAAACGTTTCCAAAAATATTATTTTTTTGTTTTTAAGTATAAACTTAATGTACAGCATGTAAAAAGCTGTAAACAGTTTTAAAAATTAAAATTATAAATGTGTCAATTAGTAATTTTTATATGATGTATACTTGAATACGAAAAAAGAATAAAAGCTTTGTTCTGAATAATTTTTTACTTTATTCTTTAATAATGTTAACATTTATTTTCAGTAATAATATTAATTCATAAGAATAATTCAAATATTATTCTATTTAAATTCATGCCTGTTATGTTAAGACTAAATAATTCCTCATAATTTTTAAGAATATTATTAATATTTTCTTGTATTTTATTTTTTATAATAATAAAATCGAGACGAGATAAAACATAAAACGAACCGAGAAGAGACAAGGCTCTTGTTTCAAAAAAATATATCTCGAAATTTCGAGACGAAACGATATAAGGTCCTATCTATAGTCTCGTGTCAACTCTAGTTAACCGCAGTAAGAAACTAAATATAAATGAAGTTTTAAATGACGTTCAAATTATAACATTTCGCAACCTATCTTTATGCAATCCATGGCTGGCGAATATCTCGCATTGAACAAACAAACGGCTTTAAATGTATATTTATTATTTTACACATTTCTAAAGACACACCCTATATATCGAAAACCAAGGTTTTTCGAGACGAATGTTTATATACTTACCTTTTATTTTCAGGCAACAATTAAAGAACGCAATACCGCAAGAGTCTTTCGCAAGAGTCGTGGTCTTGCTTAAGTCTTGCACCACACTTGGTCTTGGTCTTGCACACTCGATCTAGGTCTTGGTCTTGCAAGCTTTCAGCTGATCTTGGTCTTAGTCTTGTATAGACCGCAAGACCAAGACCGCAAGACCAAGACCAATTTCGCTCATCTCTAGAGTCTATCAAAGATCAGAAAACCTACATATTGGCCAAGCGATATAAATAAAATACCGGACCTGCTGGACTTTTTTATGTCCAGAAATATTGCAACAAATTTTATAGAAGATGTTGTTAAGTGAAAATATTGTCACTAGAGAACTCAATCCCACACTGAGATACAAATTCTTTAAAAGTTTTCTAATGAATAGAAAAGAGGGAGTAAAAATCAATATGCATATTAATAAAGCTACAACTTGTAATTACGGCGTATTATAAGGCACAGATCTGGGTCCCCTACTGTTCACAATTTATACAAACGAATTACTTCAGGTACAAAGTTCTGGAACTCTTGTCAATATTCACAAATAGTTTTAATCGAAATATTTAACAACGAATATTTGAAAAACAAAAATAATACCAATAACATAATGGCCCTTCCATTGGACTCACGACATTGGCAGTGAGAACCTAATTAAAGAACATTCCCTTTAATTCAATTCAAGATGTGATGAAACAAAAAACTATAGAGTTGCCAGGGAGGTAAACTAAAGTATTTCCATACTTTCCTAAACCAATGGTAGATGATTTTTACCACGAAGACTTTTTTACTTATTCAGAGAAGTTTCCGTGCAGGGATTATTGTAGTATCGCAAAAATTTAGTGACAATTTTATCAAAGATAAATTTTCAAGCGGATGTATATATAATAAAAAAATATATATAAAAAGCAACTCTCTTTTCTTATGTCACAAATAAACATTTAATTTTACAAACTTAATTTCCGTACTAAAACTCAAACTACACCGAAACAGATTAAATGAGTTAAAACGTTTAAGCACATAAAGAATCCCAGTGAGCAAAAGTAAAATCTTGGGAAATAAGTTACGAAACACGTTTGGACCAATGATTTAGAGAAGTTAGAAGTCGGTCTCGACTGTAATGGTGTTCCATCGATTTTACATTAGGGGTTTCTTTGTACATTATACTTTATACAATCTAAAGTTGGATATGCACCCGGTTAGAGAGTTATGTTCCTAAAAAAAGTCGGAAACTTCGTAGATGGAGAGCGGGAAAAAACAGATAATGGGAAATAAATTTGCAGGAGTTCGTGTTGTGATATTTTTCACATTATAATTAGCTTAAGTATATTCTTACTTCGGAGGGTGAATAACGTAGGACCCCCTAATGGATCGCGGCCAATTCGTTGGTCCTCCCTCTCTGCTTTCGACACAAAGTTTTTAATGATAACAGGACTTTTTGACAACCCTGCACTCGGAGATAATAACATTTATAAACGAAGACTATCATTTTTTTCTTATCGCAAAATAATAATCATGTACATAACAGTTTATAGTGAATCATTTCAATGAGTTTTCTTGAAAGCATAGGTGATTCCAGAATTTTTGTCTGGGACCCAATTTTTTAAATATTTCAAATATTTCATAGGAAAAAACTCCCAAAATTGTGAGAATAATTATTTTTTAAAGTAATTTTAGGGAGAAATTAAGAATTATTAAAAAATAATTTTCACTGGTCTTCAGTGGTTTTGTTGTCCTAGATATAAGATTGATTTTGGATATAGTTATGCTTACAATTCATGAAACCATTAATGGTTTCGTAAGATTTGCTATCGTTTTCTTTTAAATCTTTATTTTCATTTTACATTACAAAAATCGAAAAACAAGAAACAAAATAGCAGATACATTTATAATGTCAGTTTTGTTTTGAAAAATTAGGATACATCAAAGTAAACAGAGAAAAATGTCGAAAACATATGTTAAATTTCCATAAAACGCCTTTTATGAGCTTTTCTTTTATAATTTTTCAGAAGACAATCCCTTTTTAAAGACTAGCAGTAATCTAGCATCATGTGACAATCCCATCGGCCCTGATACCTTTCCTCCATCACTTTTAGATCCTGGTGGAACCGCTCTTCCTGTTCGTGTTTTATGGTTACCTAGGAAATTTTCAACTACCAACACAAAACTTTTCCAAGCCTTACTTTCCGGAACAGTCATAACTTTAATAAAATCTGTGTATTTTATCAATTGCCGTATTTGAGGACCAATAAATATTCCACCTTTCAACTTTTCCATACTAAGCTTCGGTAATTTTCTACAAATGCAAATAAAACGCTTTTACAAATTGCTTTATCATTTCTAATTTAATGTATAATGGTGGAAGTATGATTTTGTTTCTGCTCACCAACGGCTCCCTTATTATATTGGCTTTACCGAAAATTAAAAAATTTCTTAAAGGCCAAACATCTTGTTCCCAATGTAGTTGCTTTGCTCTACTGTCCCACATACAAATAAAGCAAGGGTATTTCGTGTATCCACTTTGTTGACCTAGTAAAAAATTAAGCATTTTCAAATCCACACAAATCGGCCATTGATGCTCCGAGTAATTAATTTTTTCTAAAACTAATTTTACATTTTCATATTCTACTTTGAGTTTTGTTGAATGGGCAATTGGAATTGATGCAAATTTATTTCCATTGTGCATTTTACAACTGTCAATAAAAAGGCGCCACTCAGTAGGTTTGTATTCTTTTAAACCCATGTCTAAAAGCAGCTTCGCAATATCATTACAGTAACCAGTCCTTCATTTTCACTAAAAATTGTAATAACTCACTTTCTCGCGTTGTTGTAATTGTTACTGTTGGTGTCAATAAATTTTTTTCTTTCAATCTTAAGGCTAACAGTTCTGATCCTTGTTTTGATATAATTGAGATCACTAAATCACTGAGTTTATTTTGAGAAAATAACTTTGGCGTAGACATTTTACCCTCCCATTCACTTCTACTGGTAGACTGTCCATATTTCTGTGAATTTGGCAACATTATTGTTTCTGAGAGCATGCGAACTATTTTTGAAATGTAAATAAGCCAAGGGAGATTTTCACTTTGTAGAACAGGAAATTTTGTAGACTGTAAGTCTGGATATGTCCACGTTTGATTTCGATTAAAACCTTTAGCATCTGCTACGCATAAGCAACAATCATCAAAATTATTCTTAGGCTCCATCCAGATCATAGGAATACCAAAGTCTAACCCAGAACGTTCTCCTTTTTTCCACAACCGTAACCTTTATGAGGAACCCATGATTTATCTAGTTTGTCCATTGTAAAACCGAAATATTCAGCATAAGTCTCCTTGACAAAGTCTGTGATATTTTTTTTTTGTGTTTTTGTCATATCAACACCGCAAATATAACAAAATGAATCACTACTATATTTACACTTTCTTCGTGACAAACTCATGTTCTAAAAGACAAGACCAATATTAGAGTGGACAATCAGTAATTGAAACAAAATATTAACACATGACAACTTATCCAGATTCACGTGTAAGTACTTCAATATTATCAAATAACTGAGATCTCAGCTGTTCTGCGGAGCAAGTGTTCTGAGATTGGGGATCAAGTAATGTTTGTATGCGCGAAAAAGTTGCGCAGAAGCCTAATTACTAACAGGCCGAAAATTGTTCAAAAATATATAAAAATCATAAAAAACAAGAGCACATTCAGTAGTAATATATTCGTAATTTGGGCACTTGAAAACATACAAGTTTGCAAAGATACCCAGGGCAACAAAAAAAAAATTGTAGAGCTGTGTTTTGTTTATCGAAACCAGCCTTTTAAGATCTAATGCAGTATATTGAGCCTCTTCTACTGTCACTAAGAAGAGTCCCAGCTTTAACTAAAGTAGAGAAAGTGTTAGTAGCTTAATTTTGGAACAGGTAGTTATCAAGCTGTTTAATGTTAAGGAATTAGTCAGCCTACAGTAAACAGATGTGTTAAAGAGGTGATCGAAGCCTTGAGTCATCCAGCCATATTTAACCGTTGGGTTAAATTTCCAAGTACAATTCATGAACTGCAAAACAACAGAAGGGCATTTTTCAATAAATTTAAAATAATTTATATTATGTAGGACTTACAATAACAATAGACTCGTCAACACAGGGATCTCCTGTTAGAGCGGTTTCTCCTAAAATGTTTATTATTTTTTGGTCATGATTACTTTTGCGCTTATAATCGAGGTCCTCCTTCTGTTCCACGGGAATGATTATTAAATACTGTGTGCTTTTTTCCATTTTTTTAAGACCTTACCATGTCCGAAAATGATGACATAGCAACAACTACATCATATTGAATTTGAATAAATCACATAATACACTCATTAAAACAACTTACTTTTTTCCACTGAATAGACGTTTTTGATGTCCCCGGTATAGAACATTTTTTTTTAATCATGTCCTTTTTTGCGCTTATTTGTGGGTAAAAGTATTGGAAAACTTTCCTTTTAGAAGTTCCTCGTCATCCTCAAGGAATTTTAAGAGGTATTTCTTTCGAGCGCCACTCCTAAGCTAATTTTAGCAATTTTTTCTTATTTAATAAAAAATCGTAAAATAAAAACAACAAATAAGTCAAATAACCTCAAAACTAGAACCAATCTCCCACTCACTGCCTTGCTGGATGGAGCTGGCAACTCATCAAATGGAAATAAGACCAGTAAATCCTGATATTTGATTGGTTCAGGACATGAAATGCCTGAATTTACCTGCGAGAAAGGTAACTTTTGTAATTCCCTAGAATTTAAATTCCTATTTATTTAAGAATAGGACTGGCGGTTCTCAAGAGATTTTTTTTGTCAATCAATTCTCTGGAGAAATAATTCCTACGATTTCAGGGATTGGGTCCCTGGGGTAGCTAATATGTAAAAGCTATTTTAGTAGAAAATAAAAATTGTTTAAAATATACTTAAACAAATTAATAAGTTAACAAATTGACATCAAGAATAAAAGTTTTAAGAGTGAAAACATTGAACTAAAGAATGCTAAAATTTTGTTATTATCAGATGAAAATGGAAGAGGTTGGACAAGGAATTAAGAAAATGTTTTTTATCAAGAAATTGCGTCAATTGAGATAATTTTAAAACCAGGGGTAGAATTCTCGAGTCTCGCATGAAAATTGTCGCATACCAAATTCGTATGGTTGTTAAAAATACATATTTAGGGGTGCGTTTAAGCCTATGACGCCGGAGTTTTAGAAAACTGAAATTTTTAGTGAATATAGTCGTGAAGTACCTTATTAAATCCCACTTAGTCAGAATGTGGCACAAATCGCCGTTTCCTCATAAAATAATAATAAACTTTTAGGGGTGATTTTTGACCTATGACAGTAGTAGATGAAAGTAGTCCTCAAATAGCAGATTAAATCCCAAATAACCAGAATATAACAAAACATATAAATTTCCCGTAAAAAAATAATACCTATTTAGGGGTGCGTTTAAAGCTATAACGCCGGGGTTTTAGAAAACCCCAGGGGTAGTATTCTCGAATGTCGAATACCTCGATTCGCATGCAAGATTAGTCAAATGTCGAATAGCAAGTAGGTGATTTTTTTAAAAAGTGTATCCTCGAAAACAGGATACGACAAATGTCAGGTGAATTCAACACGAGTGGTCTAAATAAAGTGCTTGAATTTAAATTCGTATGCGACTTTATGGACCGTTAATATGGACGAGGCATATTTTGATAAAATTAACATTTGGTGGCTGTTGGAAATCAAAACATTATTAAAGAGTGACAGCATAGAAGGAAGAAGTTTATTTATAAAAATCCATTTGGAATTAACGATGTGTTATAGTGTTATTTATCAAGCATTTTCGACTGGATGGATTTTTATAAATAAACTTCTTCCTTCTATGCTGTCACTCTTTAATAATGTTTTGATTTTCAACAGCCACTAAATGTTAATTTTATCAAAATCTGCCTCATCCATATTTACGGTCCATAAGGTCGCATACGAATTTAAATTCGAGCACTTTAGACCACTCGTGTTGAATTCACCTGACATTTGCCGTATCCTGTTTTCGAGGATACACATTTTAAAATCACCTAGTTGCTATTCGACATTTGACTAATCTTGCATGCGAATCGAGGTATTCGACATTCGAGAATACTACCCCTGGGGTTTTCTAAAACCCCGGCGTCATAGGTTAAAAAGCACCCCTAAAAGAATAATATTTTTTATGAGAAAACGGCGATTTGTGCCACATTCTGACTAAGTGGGATTTAATCAAGTACTTCACCACTATATTCACTGAAAATTTCAGTTTTCTAAAACCCCGGAATCATAGGCATAAACGCACCCCTAAATATGTATTATTTTTTTACGAGAAAATTATGCGTTGCGCCATATTCTGGTTAGTTGGGATTTAATCTGCCACTTGACGACTACTTTTCCTAAAAATAGCGGTAATTTAAAACCCCGGCGTCATAGGTTAAAACGCACCCCTAAAAGATTATTATTTTTTTTATAGGAAACGGCGATTTGTGCCACATTCTGACTAAGTGCGATTTAATCAGGTACTTCACGACTACATTCACTGAAAATTTCAGTTTTCTAAAACACTGGCGTCATAGATTTAAACGCACCTCTAAATATGTATTTTTAACAACCATACGAATTTGGTATGCGACATTTTCCGTGTGCGACAATTTTCATGCGAGACTCGAGAATTCTACCCCTGGAGCAGAATTTAATAGAATACTGGAAGATATTGGAAATCTTACTAAAAACTTTAACTACAATGATTATGTAGTTATTATAGCAGGAACAAATGACATATTAAAACATTAAGAATATTAGTTAAAAATTAAAACAGTGCATGCAAAAAGTCCAATGTATTATAGATGTACAATGGCTTTCTGTTAAAATGTTTTTTCTCTACTTAGCTTTAACATCCATCTACAAAATTAAACATGGACTGGTTCCTCTTATTTGCTTGATAAAATCAGTTACAACTTTCGTATTTCACAAGCTTGAAGTAAACAGTGCCAAAATACAATATTTTTTAAGGAACTTCAAGCTTTTAATAACTTACTCCTAGAACTTAGAAATGTCGCCTCATTTAATACCTTTCATATAAATTAAGAGATTGTAAGTTAATGAGCCCGCATCTGTGATTTTTTCTGTTTAAAGTGATATTTTATGTCTTATATTTTAGATATATATATATTTATTTTTTCTACACCCACATGGATATTAGCTTAACTACGCACATATTAGAAAATGAAAAAGTATGCTATTGCCTTCAACTGAACGAATATATTTCATATCCATTCTAGGTAGTGAGAACACAAAATTAAATCCACCAATAACCGTTCATATTTTGATCAACCCACTGCTATTATTTTTAATATTTTAAATAAGTGACAATTCTGTCAAACTAATTGTCAGTATATTTTTTAGTTATTGAGATTAAACATACATTAAAATGGGTTTTTCTTGTGTAGAATCTATAAATAATAGCATTTTCGTTTTTATTTCGTCTATAATTATAAATAATTTGTTAATTTAAACAAAACTATATGAAGTCAATTTAATTACGAGTATTAAAGCAACTAAAATAAAAGAATAGGTGCTCTTGTGCTTAGCGTTCTTGCCTTCCACACTGAAGACTCAAGTTGGATTCTCGGATGGGGAAAATGAAATGAATTTTTTTCTTTTTTTTTTTTTCGTTTATTTTATTTTAAATATTATTAAAAGTCATAAATTATTTTAAAATTAGTTATGTTGTCTTAATAACCTAAAATGTTTTTCTTATTTGTAAATTTTTGTTAATGGGTCGTAGAAAAAATATTCTGTACAACTCGAGTGAATTGTCCACATCGCACTCAAATTTCGTCTCCGTGCGATATGGCCATCATATCCACTCTTGTTTTACAAACTAATTTTTGTAATGTGCTATTAGCTTTGCTAAATAAAGGAGAAGTATTTTAATTGGTTATTTAAAAAATTCAGGAAAGAAAATTAGTTAAAACAAAACGAATCAAATCAATACACAGATCTTTTTTATAAATATTTATTCTGCTAGATTTCTGACATATTTTATTAAATATCTATTTTCTCGTTATCTATATGGAAGTCAGAATAAAGGTTAATTTAAGTTAGGAAAGTAAGCCCATCTTTTCCATTGTAATTTTTTAAATAGTTTTGAAGGGCAAACATCCTGTGTCTTTAAAACAAA